AAAAAAAAAAAAAAAGCTAAAAGCTTTTTAGATGTGGAAGCAACAAGTAGACATTTCCACAAACACTTTGGTGGTAAGTGCAAAAGCATTATTTATGCACCAGTTCAGTTTTATCTGAAATGGATATGAACAAGATAAAAAGAAAGCCATGTTTTTGTAAAGACTTTATCTTTTTAGAGCAGTTTCAGATTCACAGCAAAATTGAGAGGAAGGCACAGAGGTAGCCCATATACCCCACACATGCACAGCCTTCCCATTATCAACATCCCCACCAGAGTAGTACATTTGTTACAGTTGATGAACCTACCTCAACACATACAAATAATCACCCAAAGTCCGTACTTTACATCAGGGTTCACTTTTGGTGTTATACATTGTATGAGTTTGGACAACTGTATAACAACGTGAATCCACCATTATAGTATCATACACAGTATACTCACTGGCCCCCAAATCCTCTTTACTCTGCCTATTCATCCATCCCTCCCAAGCCCTGGCAACCACCCGGCCACCGATTTTCTTACTGTCTCTATAGTTTTGCCTTTTCCAAAATGTCGTAAGTTGGAATCATATAGTATGTACCCTTTTTAGACAAAAAGACACTGATTTTAAGGAAAGCTCTGTGCGATTCCTCAAAGTGAGACTCCAATAAATACGTATTGACAGTGCTGGTGATTATGCTTGTGGTGGTAAAGGTGATGATAAAGTACCCACCACGTGGGGCTGAACCAGTTGCTTGTGTATGTTGTGGAGCCCTGGCTTAAGGCAATGTCAAATTCTTATAAAAGCAAAATAATCTTTAGTTCAGAAAATGCCATTAAAGGACCACTGACTTATGAGTGAAAACCAGGAATATTAAATTATATTCCTCTGTTATAAAAGCATTAAATTTCTCTGGGATTTTAATACTTGAGAGTCCAAAGTAGCTTTACTACAGTATCTTTATTTTTCAAATGACCCTAAAGTGTTCTGTCCATCCATTCAGTTATTATTATTATTAGAAAATAATACTGGTAAAGTCTGATTAATTAAAAATTTTTTAAAAAAACAACTAAATACATACACTCTTATCTGGATTCTAGTAAATCTTCTTTAACTTGGTAGAACTCTCTAATTTATTAAAAATTAGATTAGGCTCACTATTTCTTCCTAATTAGATTAGAACTACTATTTCTTCAAATTGTGGGAAATGCATGTAAAAAGCAATATGGAATCTGTAAGTTCATCCGCACTTTGTTTTTACAGTATCTGTATTCACACCAGCTGCTTTATACTTTGCAGAAACATAACAGAGCTGTATGTCTATTTATGTAATGTGATTGTTTTTCTTTTTTAAAATCTGCTGTTCCTTGTTCTTTTTAAAACAGATGCTTGAGTGTTCCATGCAGTCTTCTATATATTACTGTATATCAAATTGTAATATGCATGTATATTATGCGAGCGTTCTAGGGTTGCTGTACCCACTTACATAACACTTCTGCATTCAATAATAGCATCAAAGTCCTTAAAATAAATACACATTCATTGACACACCAACATACTTTGAAACATAACAACGTTTATACATTATGTATGTATACATCTTAAAAAGAGATAAAGAAATTTGAAATTTGTCCAGTACAACATTACCATTATATAATGGTAAGTATAAGGCAACGTAGTGGATTGAATTATATCCCCCCAAACTCACTGAAGCTTGAATCGTGTCCCCCAAATTTTATGTATCAGAATCTTGGCCCCCACCGTGACTGTGAAGTGGGTGGGAAATCCTATTATGATAACTGAAAGGTGGGTCCTTGAAGAGGTGATTAGATTGTAGAACCATGCTGTAGAGAATGGATTAAAAATGGTGGTCAAGGGCTGGGTTTGGAGGGCTTTAAATAGTGAACACGGATATTAGTTTCTCTGCTCTGCCATTTTACAATACGATGCCCTGTATCACTGTCGCCACCACCAAGACCCTCACCAGATGAATTCCCTGGACTTTGGACTTCCTAGCCTCCAAACTGTAAGTAATAAATTTAATTTTCTTATAAATTACCCAGCTCTGTGTATTTTGTTATAAGCAACAGAAATGGACTAATACAGGCAATATGCTGACCATTGATTATTCTCATTGTCTTTAGGGACAGCGATCAGACCTATTGCTTTGAGAGCTGTGACCTCCATTGCCCGTGCTTTGCCTGGATTTCCCATTTTGGCCACTGGTGGAATTGACTCAGCAGAAAGTGGTCTTCAGTTTCTCCACAGCGGAGCTTCGGTCCTACAGGTAGTACTTGTGTTTTCCTGCCCCTTTAAAAAGCTTCATCTCACAAATACAATGCAAATTATGTGACAACAAATACGTTATTTTAGGGCCTCTTGAGAAAGAGAAAGTGTGGGATCAACATGGCAGCACTCATGAAATTCCTCTTGTGAGTCAGAACAAACCTGAGGTTCATTTCCTGTCCTATGGAGAATTTACAAACCCTCTTTTTCTCATGTATTCATTCATCCATCTGTTTCTAAAATAAATAAGACCAGGTACCAAAATGCATACTGTACTGCTGGATGATAAACAAGTACATGAGTAAATCTGGATAAAAATAAAATCTCAGCTGAAATAAAATTAAATCAAGGGTAAGGCCAGTAAACACAAGGTACATAAGGTACTGGGGTTGGGGGTGGGGGATAGTAAGTTTGACTCTGAACTACCAGGCCTTCAAAGAAGGAAATCAGGAAATTATTGACTTTATAACTTTCGAAATATAAAAATAAATTGATTGTTTTTCTTCTTGTACTACAAAGCTGAGGGAAATCCTTCCATTGTCTTCATAAAGGATTCTTTGAGATATAGTGAATAGTACTCTTAATGGCACCCTTACAAACACTAAAAATGAGGTATTTTTTTATTATTATTATTTAGGCACTTATTTTTTAGAATGTTTTTCAATATGGGCCTAGTGTGTTAGCACGTTTTAGCATAAGCATTTCTCCAAGGTGCCAGATATGCAGGTTTTGTGGTCTACCTTGACCCAGGGACAAAATTTTTCATATGATGACTAGAATGTGAACTGTCAGGTAATCCTCTGTTAACATGACTTCTCAGTACCTAGCACTGATGGTAATTGAAAGGCAGAGGGTTTAGCATTACGTACATTCTTTGGTAAAGAAAAAAAGTGGAATACAAATATCTTGTGTTGCTGCTTTGACAATCAGAATTTACATTGTCTTATGAAATACTTACAATCTAAGGTAGAAATAATATGTATCAAAATGCTAATGGAGACAGATTTCTGCTTCCAGGAAGATGAAGTAAACTTACTTTTCTCTGTGCCTCCCACTGCGTATGCCTAAAAACACTTAAATATAAAACTAATAATGTAAGAAGACTCTGAAAGGTGGAGAATAGGCAGACTGTCTAGGGACCTCGAGACTCAAGGAACAGCACAGTGATGAGTTTCCTGGTTGTTTTTTTTTCCCTCCTATTTCCCACACTTGGAGCCAAAGAAGCCCAACAACCCAGAAACAACAATAGCGGCAGGCAAAAAGCCTGCTTTCTCTGGCCAAAAAAGAAAGAAAGAAAGAAAGGAAAAGGGCAGCCTAGCAAGACAGAAGACTTTTAGACAATAACTACTCTACTCAAGCCAAGCACCCTATATAAAAACTTCATCCCCACACCCATACAGGCAAGCAAAGGACGAGTGGGGATCCTAGACTTCTATCCCATCAGGGATGAATTTATATTTTCCCCCGTATAAATAGGGGAAATAGTGAGCTTCCCTATGTGGGAAGCCTGGACTGACACCCCCAGCTGAGAGTAGTGAGGTATCCCTTCTCTCTTCTGGGGTGTTGTCAGAGGAGCTCTAGTGGAGACTCAGGACTTGCATCACCACCCTGTAGCAGTAAGACCACACTCCCTTCATCCTCCCTATGATGTCAGTGAGGCCAAATGGGGAACAGCAACAAGGCTCTCCCGCCCCTCTCAGCCAAGGAGGTATCAGTGCAGGCTTAGTGGGAAGCCCGAACTCCCACCCTCACCCAGCAGCAACAAGGAGATATGCCCTTCAGGTGCCAAAGGAGGCCAAGGAGGGAACTTGGGCTTCTACCTGGCAGAAAGGGGCAGCATCCTCTCTTCACCAGCCAGAGTAGTGTCAAGGAAAGCCAGCCAAAACAGGTTTAAATAACATCAAAAGTCTCTTAATATAATATGCAAAATGCCAAGATTTCAATCAATAATCATTCATTATACCAGGACCCAGGAACTGAACAGTAAAAGATAATTCATAGATGCTGACACCAAGATGACAGAGATGTTAGAATTATCTGAAGAAGGTTTTAAAGCAGCCATCATAAAATTGCATTAATAAGCAATTACAAACATACTTAAAACAAATGAAAAAAAACAGAAATTCTTCACAAAGACATAGAAAATGTAAAGAAGAATCAAATGGAAATCTTCACACTGAAAAACCCAATAGCTAAAATTGATGTGCTCAACAGCAGAATGGATAGAACAGGAGAAATAATCAGTGAGCTAGAAAACAGAGCAATAGAAATAAACCAATCTGAACAAGGGAGAGAATGAGCTTCAGGGAGCTGTAGGACTATATAGCAAAAGATCCAACATTCGTGTCATTAGAGTCCCAGCGGAGAGGTGAGAGAAGGTGGGGATGACAAAGAAATAATGTCTGAAAACTCCCCAGTTTTTGCAAAAGACATGAACATATAGATTCAAGAAGCTGAGTGGACCCTGAACAGGACAGACCCAGTGAAATCCATACCAAAACATATCATAGTCAAACTTCTGAAAACTAAGGAAAAAGAAAAAAAAATCTTGAAAGCAGCCAGAGAGAAATGAGACCTTACCTGCAGGGGACAAGCAATTTTAATGATAGTGAATTTCTCTTCAGAAACCATGGCATCTAGAAGGAAGTGTGACAACATTTTTCAGCAAGTGCTGAAAGAGAAGAACTGTCGACCCAGAATTCTGTATCTTCCAGGAATGAAGAATAAATCAAGATATTCTCAGCTGAAGAAAAACTAACAGAATTTCTTCCCCGGAGACCTTAACTACGAGAATGACTAAAGTAAGTTCCTTAAGAAGAAAGGAAATCATAAAAGAGGTACCTTGGGACATCATAAAGGAAGGAAGAATATAGAGCAGTGAAACAAGAAGAATCTGGAAGATGACACATACCCAGGCTTGGATATGACCTGAATTTATTTTCATGAACACAAAGGAATGTATGAGTGGGTTCCAGAACAGACTCTTGCTCATTGCGAGATACATGATCACGGGTAAGTCACACATGGGAGAGAAGAGTTTCAGCTGTCTACCATGTGCTGATAGAAGCTGCTGTTGCATGCAGTATTTCTACAACCTACCCAAGAGTAACATAGCTTTATATTTTTTGATTGATATTGAGACTTGGAAGATGAAAGTTGTGTAGGCACAGTCACATGACTAGAGCCAGAACTCAGTCCTAGGGTTTCACAGACACAAAGCCAATACTCTTCCAACTGGTCGCACTGCCTGTTCCCCGTCACAGGACCTATAACATGGGAATATTGGTAATAGTCAGGTCCTCTATGCCTACTCCAAGCTTACATGTTCAGGCTACAGCTTACTCCTTAAAGTAAGGATTCAAAGAGAAGAAATGTGGGGCCGGCCCCAAGGCTCACTCGAGAGTGTGCAGCACTGGTAGCACCGAGGCCGCAGGTTCGGATCCTATATGGGGATGGCTGGTGCACTCACTGGCTGACTGTGGTGCGGACGACACCAAGCCAAGGGTGAAGAAATGTGAAAACAGAAAAATAAACCAGCATTATGTGTCCTAAGTGCACATATGTGAAGTACTATGGTGGAGAAATAATTATTCAAATTTCAGTTTCTGCTTAGGTTCCTCTTAAATCGAGACTCAGAGACCCACTCAGACTAAGAAAACAAAGCCTATTGTTTTTATTTTTATTATTTTTAGTTATACATATTTATGGGGTACAGAGTTGACTATCAGTATTTATGTGCACTACGTAGTGATCAAGTCAACATTATTAGCATGTTCATGATTACAAACTGTAATTAGTTTTTGTGTCCCTTACTGTATTTCTCCCTCTTCCCCTTTCCCCTCCACCTGTCCCACCTCTACTAAGTATCAGTACAGTTGTATTCTATACCTGAATGGACCGTGGAACTGGGACGGCAAGAAACAGTGGTGTGCTTTTGTGGGGAGAGACCTTTGCCATTTCTCTTTTGTGGGCCCTGTGATTTCTCCCTAAGAAGAATTTAAAGTTCCATCTACTCTTTCTCTCTCCATGGTTTACTCCTTGTTTTTGCCCCCTCTGTTTTTGCCCCTGAGCTTCTGACTAGCACATGGCCATCATGACCTTAGGACCCACTTCACATGGTGATCTTCCAGCTCCAATTTCTACATGAATGACTCACTAGACTCATATCTGTTAGGGTTTTTTGGCTCAACTTATGATGAGGCCTGGCATGAAAAGATAAGCCATGGGTTATCCCATGTATCAACTGCTTAGTGCATAGCAGAAATACTAAATATTTGTTGAATGAATTTGTTAAATGTGCTTGAGTTGTGATGTTTTTACTAAAATTGTGAAGAGGAGGTAAAAGGATTCACATGGTATAAAAGGTCATTGCCCCTTCAGTTCTGACTGGGAATGTCCCAGAGACTCTCCAGCTGTGTAGAATATTGTGTCCCAAATGATTTTGTTAAAAATGTGAAGTTCCGGGCCGGCCCGGTGGCGCACTGCTACAGTGCGCCGCTTGGGAGCGCGGCGGCGCTCCCGCCGAGTGTTCGGATCCCACATACAGACCGGCCGCTCACTGGCTGAGCAAGGTGCGGGCGTAACACCCAGGGTTGCGATCCCGTTGCCGGTCCCGGTCCGGTACGGGCGCAACACTGAGGGTTGCGATCCATAGCCGGTCACGAAAAAAGACAAAAAAAAAGGAAAAAAAAAATGTGAAGTTCCATACCTAGGCTTTTACTGGTAGAAAATTACAGATTATTTATCAGTCCTACCATTACCTTTAATCAGATTTTCATTCAGCCAGAAAATATTTTTTTAACTAATTTGAACTGAAGTATGAATGAAAACCAGTATTAAGATACTGGTTTTGGTGGGGTGGAGAATGTATGATTTTTCTATCTCCCTTTCATTGTAACTGAATTTCACCCTGCTCTATTCCCTAATGCTGGGTTAATCTAATATTCCATTTTCTATACTTCCGGGCTCCTGAATATTGTTGGAGAAATTCAGGTAACTCTG